AAATGTGACCCATAATAAAGAGGAAAAAGTCAATAGAAACAAATGACTGGGTGCTTCACATGCTGGAATTTTCAAGCAAAAACTTCAAATAAAGAGGATTAATATGTAAAATAATATGCAAGAAAAGAGGGCTATAATGACTGAAGAAATGAGGGATTTCAAAAATGGAAACTCTAAAAATGGACCAAATGTAAATATTAGAAATAAAAATTGCAAGAATTCATTGGATGGGCAATACAAGAAAGGATTAGGGAATATAAAGACATGTTGATAGATATTGCCCAAGTCAAGGCATGGAAAATAAAATACAAAACAAGCGCATGAAGCCTCAATTCTCAGTGGGAAGGTAGCAAGCTGGCCGAAAGCGTGCAATTGCTGTCAAGAAGGAGAGAGAGGGAGAATGGGGCGGACGAATAATTGAAGAAATATTCTCCAAAAAGTCCTAAATTTGGTCAACAGCACAATCATCTCCAGATCCAAGAACTCAGCGAATCCCAGCAGGATAGACAAAGAAAACCACACCAAGTACAGTGCTGAGAAGGCGGCAGCAAGCGGAAATCTTAGAAGCAGCCAGAGGGGCAGATGAAGGGGGAACGAAGAGGACAGGAGTGGACAGCTTCCCATCACGGCGGACGAGAAGGCCAGGAAGGCACCTTGCTAAGGGGCTGGGAGACACACTCTTGACTTAGAATCTACACCTAGCAAAACTGTGATTCAGAGACGGAGGTGAAATGAAGACCTTTCCAGCAAAGTGAGAACTTAGAGAGCTTGTTACCGCAGACCCCATCACCAGCGGGGCTGAAGGAGGCTCCTTCTGCTGCGGGAGAAGGTTCCAGTGAAGTGCAGATTCTTCGGAAGGAATGAAGATTGAGGGTGTTAGTCTGTTTCTGTTGCTTATAGCAAAATACCTGGAACTGGGTGGTTTATAAGAAAACAAAATATATTTCCTACAGTTTCAGGGGCTGGGAAGTCCAAGGTCCAGGGAACACATCCGGTGAAGGCTTTCTTTGATGGTGACTTTGGTGATGGCAGGGTGTCCTATTGCAAGAGGGTGGAAACAGAGAGAGAGAGACAGACTCTCCTGTTCTTTGAAAGCCCTCAGAACCACACCCTTGACCACCATTTTTAATCCATTCACTACTGCACAGTCCTACAGTCCAATCACCTCTTCAAGGCTGCATCCTGCAGTTACCATGACAGGATTTCCCACCCTCTTAACAGTCACAGTGGGGGCTAAGTTTCTCATACATAAAATTTGGGGGACACAATTCAAGCTTCAGTAAATTTGGGGGGGATATAATTCAATCTACTACAAGCAATAAATGTGGTGACTCTGAGGGTGTCTAAAAAATAGCTTCCTCTCATTTAAAAATGTAGTTAAGGGCCAGCCCGGTGGTGCACTGGAGAGCATGGCAGCGCTCCCGCTGAGGGTTTGGATCCCATGTGGAGACCGGTTCCTGCTCACTGGCTGAGCGCAGTGCGGGTGCAACACCGAGGGTTGCGATCCCGTTGCCGGTCAGTAAGAAAAGACGAAAAGGAAAATAAAATAAAAATGTAGTTAAAAGACAATGTGTGAGGGGGCGTGATACTCACTCGAGGGGGGACACGGACGAGTTAAAGACGAGAGTTGGGATCCCTGGAGCGACCACTCAAATAGAGCACAAGGAGGCAGAACTAAAAAGCCAGTGGAGGAGAGAGAATAAAATACCAAAACATTCTTGACCAACCCAAAGGAAGACAGGCAAGAGACATCAAAGATGGGATATGAGATAAATAGCAAGATGGCAAACCTAGCAGATCCACACCAATAACTACATTAAGTGTAAGTCAACTAAACGCTCGGAAGGCACAATTTTCAGAATGGACTTAAGAAAAAAAAAGCAGGATCCAGTGGCATGCTGTTTATGAGAAAGCACCTGCAAGAGCAAGCAGGATGGAAGGACACGGCTGGAAAAGCACGCTCCACGCCGACAGTAACCTTGGAGCACACTCTTGGGACAGCCTCAGTCCACGTGCCTGTGTGCTCAGCAGCACCCGTGTCCCCTTCCCTGGTTACACAACCAGTCCACGTTCCCCAGCTTCCCTGTGGTCACCGGGGCCATGGTGGAGGTCGGGCCAAGGGGCATTGGGTGAAAGGGAGGTCTGCAGAGGCCCCCACATTCCCCTCCACCTCGGGGTGGCTGGGGTGAGTTGACCCTCAGGACAGGAGCCATATATAGGGGCAAGAGCCACATGGTGGAAGAGGCTTGGGCCCCAGAGTCACCGTGGGAGGAGGGGTTCCAGCCAGGAGCACCCACCCTGGACCCCCACAGGAGGAGAAATGAACGCTGCATGTGTGCGTTAAGCCACAGAGATCCCAGGCTCCACCCGTCTCAATTTGCTTCGCATTAGTAATACACCACCCATATTTTCCTTCTAGCACACGTTGCTTTCTCCTATTGTGATATATAATAGGAAGTGATAGTACAGTCATATACTTGCCAGTTAGTTTGTTTACTCGTGTATTTTCTGTCTTCCCTCCATAGAACAGGCTCCCAGAGCACAGGGAGGGCACAGAGCAGTGCCTGGCACACAGCAGTGCTCATTAAACACAAGCTCCTTTCTCTCCTCCTTGTGAGGCCTGAACACAGTTCGAAGCCACATCCCTGTGTACTGGCCCAGGGAACGCCCACCCAGATAGAGCATCACCAGTAGCAGCATTCCGACATTCTCGAGCAGGGGTAGCACCCCACCCACCCAAGGGGCAAAGCCACCAATCTCAGGATTTTAGTTATCCATCATTGTCCCTGAATTGACCTTTCATTTATTAGGTAAACGACCTTGGCTCGAGCAGGGAGCCTTCCTGGGGTGAGCTGGGAATGTCTAAGTCCAGTGCTGGAGCCGTTTGGGATGAGGGCTGAGTGTGGAAGGAGCACTGGACAGGGAGCCTGAGCTTCTAAGCCACTTATCCTGGGGAAGAGACTGTGCTGGGAGCCCGAGGACAGGGGTGGGAGTCAGGACACAGGGAGGCGGATGGCGGGGCAGGAGCGTCCCGGGGACCTCTGGGGAGCTGTGTGGCTCCAAGCAGCCTCTTTCCTTCCCTGGGCCTCGGTTTCCCCATCCATAGCAAGAGATGCCCTCAAAGCCACAGCAGTGCCCTATCCTAGTGATGTGGGGTGTTTCTCCTCTGTGGTGTTTAATTGCTTCGTTTTGTTTTGTTTCTTGCAGTGAGATTACTCAGCGTGCTACCTTGTTTTTTAAAAAAGATCAATTCAAATGTAATTTACTCAATTCACTAAAATTACAACATCAAAAATCCAGTGCTTTTTTAAGCCTTTAAATTTGGCTTATAAACGTTATTCTATCTATAACAGGCAAATTTTAATAACTTCCTTTACGGGGGCTATAGATAATTCTTGGTCCCTTCACTGACTTAGTTAATTTAACAGCTTTAAACATTTTAATTGCATTTACAGAATTAATATACTCAAATTTATGTTTTAATATATCAGTTGTCTACCTTTAACATAATTTTCTGAGTATAAGCTAATTTTTAGAAATCTAATAATTTAAACATATGAATGTGATGGACTTGGGAGGTCTTTTAAATGTTCTGCAGCTACATATAAACACAGCAAGATTTCCACATAAAATCACTCACTCGTTCAACTATTGTTTCACATTTTCAATTGGATTATCAGATTGTCATTCCAATAGGCCAAAATCTCCTAAATATTGCCAATACTCAAAATGACAAATTGACATAGATTTCTTTCTGCTAAAATATTCATACTGTGAATTTCCGTCTCTCGGTCCTGTCTAGACTTAGGTAGAAACACATGTCCACTCAGGAGGGCAGTCACCATGCAGGTGGCCCAGGTCACTAAGGGCCATGCTGCCATGGGCTCCTAGCAGGGCTCCCACAGGCACGACATGGAGACAAGGTGCCAGAAGGGAGAGCCTGCCTCTGGGTTGTGATTCTGCACATCCAGGAACCTGCCTCTCCAGCAGGCTCACCCCACGTGGGGCTGGGCATCTCCTTGGCTCTTAGAAGTTCAAGGGCAGGTCTCTGATTGGCTCCATGTCCTCAGCCCACACTGCTCTAGAGACGTTGAATCGGTAAGTGGTGGAAACTCGAGTCTCACGTGGTCTTGTCTGACTTGAGGTCACAAATCTAATCCTTTCAACACCTGGACAGGGACCGTCATAGGTGGGGTTGGGGGCACAATGAGCCACTTCTGTCTCTAACGGGACGAAGCCTAAGGTGAGGGCTTGATCAGGATTTAGCTCTTCTCTAACAGGTGTGGACACAGCTTTAAAACCTGGGTTAATCCAGTCTGTTCCCTCCCAAGACTGAGCTGCTGCAGTCCAAGTCACAGCACTAGCTTCGACTGGCGTCTGGTTGTGTCCCAAGGTGACACCCCCTTTGTGATGCTGGGCCTGGCCACTTCACTTTCCCCCCATCCTACGTCCACTATAGTCGAGACCCACCCCCTGCTCGCTGGTCCAGGAAAGTCCCCCTGCAATCCCCTGCCTGCCTTTCCTTCCTCTGAGAACTGTCCAGATCCCCATGGATGTTTCTAAGCTTCTGTGGACTTGAAGCTCATTACCTGCAAGTGAATTCCTTAAGTGCTGGGTTCCGCAAGCCTTTCCATCCTGTTGAAGGCTCCAGGGGGTTGTCCTGGCAGAGCCAGGTAATGAAAGGGTGCAGGGCCTGGGCTTTCTCAAAGGACGCAGACAGCCAGGTCCTTCCCCACACAGGGCCTTGGGGAGGTTTCTTGCTGGGAAGAAAGTGTCCCCACGGGGGGGATATGAGGCTCATTAGAAGGAAGGCTGGGGGCCTGTGGAAGGCCTGGCTCTGAGGCTGTCTCCACTTCCAGCTGGTGCCTCCACACTGGCGGGAAGGAAGTGGCCGTCCCTCCCAGGGATGGAAAACAGAGCCAGAGGTTACAGTGGGCGGCACAGCCTTATAAGAGCTGGGAACGCCTTCAGCAACATAGACCAGGGCAATGGAAGCCAGCAGGGCCACCGTGGCCATGAGGCCCACTCTCCTGGTCATCGCCTTCCTGTGCACCACGGCCTTGATGGCCGACACCTGTCCAGGTGAGTCAGACCCTCCAGATGAGCAGCACTTTGGAGGGCTCAGGGCTCCGGAAACTGATGGCCTCCACTGACAGCGCACCACGTACCAGGTCCCATGCTCAGCCCTTTGCAAACATTCTCTCCTGATTCAACAGCCCTTTTTAAGCAGAACTTTTTAACAGAGGAGACAGAAGCTTGAACAAACAGATGCAGCCTAGTGCAGAGTTTATGCACGGAGCCCTGCGGCCAGGCTGGCTGGTCCGAACCCTGCAGGAGGCTCAGCCCGGCAGTCCATCTTCTCAGGGCACAGGGCCCTCCTTCATAGAAGGGCAACCATGAGGGTCCTGCAGCCCAGGTTGCGTGAGGAGGTGGACTGCATCGAGGGCTCTGGCCTGTGGCAGGCTCTGGTCAGATTCTGTGCCATTGTCACCGTCACTGGGAGACTTCACAGCTGAGATGGGGCCAGGCAGGGACATTCATTCTGGTACCTGCCAAGCTCTGGGGCAAGCAGCTCCTGGTGTATCCCAGACAAGGCAGGGCAAGGGTGCCCTGGTGCCCATGGGCTCGAGAACTCCTTCCCCTGGGCTCCTGGGGAGAATGCGGATGCCCCAGCCTGGGGCTGTCACACATGACTCCAGTCCCTGGTACGGGTTCTGATGGCTGAGATTCTTGGTCACACTGGAGGTCATTGCTCTGACCTCATAATGGGTGACCACGTCCAAAAGTCCTAGTGGGCACCACGGTGACTAGCATGATTATGGTGGAACAGGACAATGATTGGTGCTGTGCTATTGTGGAGAAAGGCCAGGAACTGAGTCAGGAAGGAAGCTCACACATGAAAGTGGCCTCCGCCACTGGCAATATTAAGGATGAGCTAATTTTCTTCCTTAAACGTGTCTCATTTTCTAATTGTCTAAAATTATTAAGAATTCTTTTTAATGAGTAAAAATTAAACAAATAAAGAAACAAAGTATACGCCTGCTCTGACCAGCAAGCCAGGGGTGAGGGCAGACCAAAAAAGTACACAAGATGGTAATAGCTGTCGGGGTGTCCCAGTGAGAGCAGGATTAATTCCACAAATTCTAAGTTGTCGTTGAAGAGGATGTGTTAGTTTTGTAATCATGAAATTGAAAATATGTTTTCAAAGAAGCAGACAAGCTCCCTTGAGTTCCAGTTGTGTCCCCGCTTGCCCTGTGTCCTTGGGTCAAACACTTCCCCTCTCCAGGGGACCCAGGGGACCCCTTCCAGCTGAGTAGTTCTACGATCACATTCCCAAGGTCTGGGAGTGAAAATGTTACGTTGACCAAAATTCCCCAAGTTTCCCGTAAATATTTCTTGTTATTTATTGAAAGTACCCACTGTTTATGATTCTCTGTCTCATGACCACAAATTATACTGAGATTTTAAAAATTTGCCTTCTCTAATTTAATCTCCCCCACAAACCTATTCCTATCCCCACTTGGCAACCTAGGAGACAGAATCTCAGAGGGGTTAAGTGACTTGCCCGAGGACACACAGCACCGAGGAGCTGGGGATGCCCCTCGGGCAGGGTGGCCTCCAAGGCCAGGGCCCTGCCCTGCATCTCCTCCCGGCCTGACCAGTGCCCCAGGGTGAGGGCTGACCAAGGCCCCATCAGAGGTGGGAAGCTCACTGCCGGGCCGACCCTCAGGCTGGGCACTGACTGGCCGCTGTGTTCCTCTGCAGAGGTGAAGGTGGTGGGTCTGGAGGGCTCTGACAAGCTCACCATTCTCCGAGGCTGCCCAGGGCTGCCCGGAGCCCCAGGGCCCAAGGGAGAGGCGGGCGCCAACGGAGGGAGAGGTACGTGCTGGGCGGGGCGGGGTGGTCAGAAACGGGGAGGGGGGCTGGCTCCTGCTCTTCTGAATTATTTTTTTCTTATTTTAAAAAATTATTATTATTATTATTATTATTTTCGGTGGCTGGCAGTACAGGGATCTGGGCCCCGACCTTGGTGTTATAACACTGCGCTCTAACCACCTGAGCTACCAGCCAGCTTGCTCTTCGGAAGTTAGATGCCAGGTTGGGCAAGGCCCCCACTGCGGTTCCTAATCGGGACCTTTGGTCGTGGCCCCAGCTCAGAGCCAGTCTCAGAAGCCGACCCGCAGGGTCCTGGGGGGCTTCTGAAGATGCCCAAGGACGGAGCGCATCTTTTCATCCCCCGTGAGCTGTCAGTGGGTGTGCTGTCATAGAAATCTGCTTCCTGTCCTTGATCCGATGCCAGCTTTACTTGGCATTGGCAAGACTTCTAGACTCTGTGGACCTCCCTATTCTCACCTGATGACTGGGGTGACCACTTTCCTCTCAGCCTACCTCGGATAGGGAAACTGAGGCTGAAAGGGACCAGCAATGTTCTGAATTCAACACCAGTAAGAAGTGGAGCTGGACTCGAACCCGGGTCTGCCTCAGGGCCCTGCCAGCATCCCTGAGCCTGAGCCGCAGTCTGGGCTCTGCGCGTGGAGCTCTGCGCACTGGCGCCTCTCCCACAAAGATGAGCGAGAGTGGCAGGCCCTGCCTTGGCGGGTTTGGGACCCCCAGGCCTGGCGTAAGGCACATGCGTGATAAAAGTCCAACAAGGTGCTGAGCTGCCCGGGCCTGGAGGTGTTCAAGGTGATGCTTAAAGAGCACCTGGTGGAGACGCCCCGTGGACACAGCACAAGCTTGGACATCCCTATGAATTGCACAAGGAGTCCAGGCTCAAAGTCACCTGGGCGGCCCCTGGTATCTCCTGGTGTGTGTGGCTAATCTGCCCCGAAGCAGGAACCAGCCCCACACACTCTGCTCTGGCCTGGCAGGGGACAGGGAGAAGGCTGGCGGATGTCCCTGCTGCCTTCACTGAGGCTGGGGGCTGCCTTTCCTGGATGGCATTGGGGGAGGGGAGGGCCTGGCTCTGGGCTCTGACCTACCTGGTGGGTGGAACCCAGGAGCCGGGTGTCCTGAGCCCCTGCTGATGGTGATAACACTGGCCCGGGAGATCACATGGCTTCTGGGTCTCCCCTGTGATCAGAACCACACAGAGGGCGGTGTGACTGCTCTGCAGCCTCTGCTGGGTCCCGGGGCTCGGGCACAAAGCAGAGCCAGGTCCGTGAGGGCTCGCGCCCCGGCGCCTGCCCACAGCACCCACGCGGTGGCAACACGGTACTGTGCACACGTGTGGACGTTTTACTGATTTAAATTTGTGTCTAATTCATGTTCACTTATTTCAAAAATTGTAAACATAAGAAAAAGCAAAACTTACACAACTCTAGGGCACGGTCACATATTCTGTCTACAAATAAAAGTCCCAAGATTGGGGCACAGACCCAAGTTCGAGATGCCCCCCGACACTTCCACCGCCAGCAAGGGGACTCTCAGGCAGACTTGGGTTCAGCGTAGAATGACCGAGATGGACTTGGAAGAGTCCATTCTCCACTTTAGTGGGACGTGCAGGCCAGTGCCACGGCCCAGGGCCACGGCCTGGTTAGTACCATCTGACTGGCAGTGCTACCGCCATCCATGGAGAACCCAGACCCGGCGGGGACAGGCCAACCAGGTGTGGCCTCCAGAGTCCGGGCGTCGTGTCCCAAACCTTTACTCAGAACTGGATCGTGTCTGTTTCCTTCCCTCCTCTGTCCTGTGTTCATGGAGCCATTAGGGCTGAAGGAGACGAGGGCTGTGACTTCCGAATGATCCCTGTTCCCTCTCCCCACAACAGGAGAAGCTGGGCAGTCTCCGTCATGTGCTACAGGTGACTGGTCATGCCTGGACACCTGTCAGATGCCTTAAGAAGTACCAGGGAAAGACATTCAAAGTTGTATGCTCCAAAGAAAATTAGTGTGCCCCAAAGGCCAGGTGCCCAGAGACCGGGGGCGGTGCTGGGAGGGGGAGTCAGGTGGCCTGGGCTTGGCCATCACCGCTGGGGGGACCTCAAGGGCTGTGTGTCTGTCCCAGGCCTCCGGGTGCTCTCTGTCCATGCAGACCCCTGCTGTCCCTGCTTCCCCTCCCTCCCTCCCCTCCCACTGTCCCTGCCCTGCCCCAGGCTCCCTGCCTGGCATCCCTGCCTGTCATCCCTTCCTGGTTTCTTCCTGGTTCCCTTGCCAGGACCGCGGACCTGCAAGGAGCTGCTCACCCGGGGGCACTTTCTGAGCGGCTGGCACACCATCTACCTGCCCGACTGCCGGCCCCTGACTGTGCTGTGTGACATGGACACGGACGGTGGGGGCTGGACCGTGAGTGTCGGGCTGGGGTCCTTGGGCTGAGGCGGGCGGCCTGGGAATCCCGGAGAGCAGGTGCCCACCTGGCGGGAGAACACACGCTGAGCCTCCTCTACTCCGCTCTGCGTCTCAGGTGCCCCCTCCTTTCACTGAGGACGGGGAGGCTCAGAAATGATGGGGGAGGCGACTCCCGGGGTAAAAGTTCAGGCCGGGGACGAGGCTCGGAGGGAGCCCACTACTCTCTGCTGTGTGGCTTTTGGTCGCCGCCTGCCCTCTCTGAGCCTCCATTTCCTCCTTCCCACATGGGGGGTGTGAGGAGACCACGTGGCCTTGCCCGTGGCACCCGCCCCTGTCGCTCTGAGAACTATAAATCCCTGCTCCCGCGTGAGGCCGGGTCCCGTGCTGAGGACGTCAGCCTGGACCTCCCCTCTCCCGGTCCCCTCGCTGCTGCACAGGTTTTCCAGCGGAGGGTGGACGGCTCCGTGGACTTCTATCGGGACTGGGCCGCGTACAAGCGGGGCTTCGGCAGTCAGCTGGGGGAGTTCTGGCTGGGGAACGACAACATTCACGCCCTGACCGCCCAGGGTAGGGCCTGACACGGGACTGCCCAGCCCCTTAGACCTGGGCCATCTGGAACACGAGACCCGCTTCTCTGGACCCACGGGAGATGGGGCTCTGAGCAGACACTGCGCAGGGCTGCGACGTCCTCAGATGCGCACTCGCTGCTGTGTCTCCCGACATGTCAGGGTCAGGGAATGTTAGAGCACTAGGGTGGAGCCTTGTCCCAGCCATGGTGACAATGGCCTCTGAGATCCCAAGATAAGAGGCATATGGAGGGAGGCCGTCGGGGCTTAGCCCAAGCCCCAGCCCTAAATCCACCTCCCACTTTTTCTCCTTTCTTAAGCTGGCGTCTCAGGGGAAGAGAGGGGCTCACCTCTGGCCCCCGTCCCCTGTCATCCTCCAACCAGGCCACCCAGCTCAGGCTGAGTGACAACAGCGTCCTTATTCTGTGGCTCACCTGCCCCAGAGTATCAGCTTGTCCCTGATCCTGGGGAACCTGCCGAACCGACCCTCCCTGCCCAGTAGCCCAGTACTGTCTCCTAAGACATGTGCGGAGGATTGCTCGGAACTTTCCAGACACAGGAAGGACTAAAGCAGTTTCCCGTTCTGGGCTGTTAACGATAGCCATTTCAGGGAAATATGCATTTTTGAAACAGAATAATATTTTGTGCCATCAAATAAATACGAGTAGGGGAATTTCAGGTGTAGAAGATGGAACACGGTGCAGGTTTTTCACAATCCCTCACATAACACAGGACTTTCTCTATGAATTTGAGGAAACTTCCCCTTGAATGCCAAGTTCAGACACCCCCTGATAAGTTCCTCAGATTTCCACCTCCCATGCCCAGAGGCAGAAGGACACTTCTGCTGGGACCTTGAAACCTTTCTCCGACAGGAACCAATGAGCTTCGTGTAGACCTTGTGGACTTTGGGGGCGACCGCCAGTTTGCCAAGTACACGTCATTCAGGATGGCGTCCGAGCTGAACAAGTACAAGCTGGTCCTGGGGGCCTTTGCTGGGGGCAGTGCAGGTGCGTGTCCGTGGGAGACCGTGTGGCCTGGGCTTCCGAGAGGGCTTTGGGAAGTGGAGACAGCCTGCTTAGCTTCCCGGCCCTGCCTCTTCTGTGTGACGTTAGATGGTGACTTAACCCCTCTACTCCACAGTGTCTTCATTCATAAATTAAGATAATATTACATACACCTAATTGTACATTTGAAGATTATAAAATACATTTACTAAAAAGCCCATTATGTGATGGCTATTGTTATTTTCTCTCTTTATTGATAAAAAATGGGAAAAGATGATAATTCAGGACATTTCTGCAGGGCTTTGATTCCTGCTCTCTGCTACATGGAGCTTCCCCCCTGCAGGGTGGCTTCCTCTCAGAATGAGAGAGTTCCTGTTAGCTGGTGGGGCAGGGTGGGCCAGGGGATGCCAGGGCTGCCGCACCAGCAGAGCAAATGTCCACCGAGCGGTGACCCTCGCTGTCGCGCAGTGCACAACGTTTGTACCTGGATATGGCAGGTCTGTACTGCCCAGGGTCCGGGCTTCCCAGCCCTGTGTGTCACATGCTCCACTTTTCCTTGTGAGCAGGAGATTCTCTGACGTACCACAACAACCATTCGTTCTCCACCCAAGATCAAGACAACGACAAATCTACCCAAAACTGTGCTGAGCGGTACCATGGAGCCTGGTGGCACTTCACTTGCCACCTGTCGAACCTGAACGGTCGCTACCTCGGGGGGGCCCATGACAGCTTTGCGGATGGCATCAACTGGAAGTCGGGAAGAGGATACAACTACAGCTACAAGGTGTCAGAGATGAAGGTGCGGCCCACCTAGCTGGGGGCTCCAATCGGGATGTGTCACCATGGCCAAGAGCGGAGCTGGTCCCTGAGCCCTCATGGGAATGGAGGAGCTTCGACCCGTTCCCTGTGGGCCGGGACCCCAGAGCTTTGTGCCTAGCACAGACATTCAACCCCTCCTCTCCCGTCTGCAAGCCTGTGGGTAACTCACATGCCCCCTCGCCAACAATCCACGTCATCAATAAAGTCATTTGCTTGCTTCGTAGACAAACATGGGACCCTGCTGTTGTTCATGTTGCTCTGGTCCCTGGTCCTGTCCCTGTGTCTGTTTGTCTGTCATTGCTTCCCCGTGGCCTGGCACTGCAGGTGGACTAGATGCCTTTGAGGCTGAGGAAGTTTCTGGTGGTCTAAGACAGGAGTCGACAAAGCAGGGCCTGTTTGCAAATAAAGCTTTATTGGCACACAGCCATGCCCAGTGCTTCCACATTGTGTCTGCCCGGGTTCTATCATCCCTGGCATTTTTCATGCTACCGGCAGGGTAGTCTTGTTGGGACAGAGACCGTATGACCCTCAATTCCTAAAATTTTTATTAATCAGCCCTTTACAGAAAGTGTTGGCTGACGCTGCACTCAGAGATAGAGGGGCTTATCCAAGGCCCACAGCTCTGCCCACCAATCCATACTGTCCAGGCTTCCTGTCTCCTGATTTCCTGGGCTCCCTGGAGACTAACTCATGCAGGGGCGATTGTGTGCCTGTGAACCCCTCCTCAAATATAAACCAAAGACGAAGCAAGGCAGTGGGCATGATTGACCCGAGTGCTCCAGCAGAGAGAAGAGGCCTTCCCTCCTCTGGAGCTTCCTCTTGGAAGTGGCTGGAAGGCTGCGCCCAGCAGCACTGTAAATTGCATGTGGACTGACTGCACACTGCTCCTCCCAGCCTGCCAGGCACCCCGTTGCCGGGAGCAGGTACCTGGAGCAGAGCGCATGGGCAGAGGGACGCTTAGCTGTCCTGACCTCAGTGTTTCTCCTGCGCAAGGCTGGGCTTGCTGCGGACTGCTGCCCTCCGGAGTACGGGCATCCACTGGGCCTCCGGCTTTGCTTCTGTGTCTGTGCATCTCCCCTGGGCTTCCTTCTGCCTTTTCTCTGCTCAATTCCACTTGTCAATGGAGATCCTGATGGGCCTGGTGAGGCTGCATTGCGAAGGCAGCTTTCTCATCCTGTGACCTACAGAGACCCCAGGCCTCTAGCAAATACCTCTGAGGGGCTGAGGCCTGGACCAAAACGTGTGGGTCGCGAGGGAGGCTCAGCTCTGTCCTAGGGGCTCGCTATGCCTTTCCTGAGCTCCTGCTGCCCACCAGGTACCAGCAGGCTGCAACAAGGGGGCACAGACTACTGTGGGAGGGGCCCCACAAACACTGTTGTTGGACTCGTTGTGGGGTGGGTTTGCCCCAGGCCTGGGAGGATGGATCCGATCTGACTCTGGGGATATGCTCTTGGTTGTCCCCTGCTGGGCTCAGTTCATCCAGCCCTGAAGGGGTTAATGCAAGGGTGGCTAGTGGCTGGTGGCACCCAGCAAACCTCTCAGCCCACTCCCAGCTGTGGGACACCAGATGTCACTTCCCTGAGCTCTGGTGGCTTCAGCTCTGTGTGGGAGACAGCTGGATCCCACCATGTGCTCCTGAGGCAGGGCAGGCTTCACGAGCCGTGGCTGTGACTCAGCTCCCTGCAGTCTCACCTACCTGACCCCTGTAATGGGCACAGGGATCCTCAGGCTCACTGGGAGCATGGGGATGCCTGGTCACCAGGCCAGGTCCAGACCTGGGAACAGTGAGGACAGGGGGTGTGAGGACTCCCCAGCCCCATCCTTAACCCCAAGGGTCCAACATGCATGGACCCTCCGCACCTTCAGCATCAGGGCTGTGCCCCCAGGGGTACCGAGCCCACATCACCCCCTCAGTGCACAGCAGCAACGTGCACCCTCAGCCTGCACCCCAGTCCATCCCTTGCTGAGCCCCAAGCAAGACCCCAGCCTGTGCAGATCCCAGCCCGGCAGGGAAGACACCGGTCCACACGGTGACCACCACCCAGTCACACTCTGCGGGGGACGGAGGGACCCAGAGAGCACAGAGTGGGAGTGTCACCCAGACTCCCGGGTGTTCCCAGAGGAGGGTAGAGTCCGCTGAGCCCCGAGGATGAGAGGGGTCAGTCGGGGAAGGAGGCAGGGGGGTGGGGAGCTTGCAGCAGAGCAGCCAGCATGCCCAGAACCTTCTTTCCTAAGTGGGTCAGATCCCTCCCTGAGCAGCTCCGGCAAGGTGGCAGGATGGCAGCGGCCCCTCCACTCTGCTTCAGAGGCCGTGCCCTGAGGCAGGAGTCATGGCAGGAGTCAGCAACCGGCTGTCACCACGGCCACCCCCTCCCAGCTCCTTGCGTTTTGGTGTCCTTGTCCAAAGTGGATTTGTTTTTCTAATGTGCTTTTTAACTATTTTTTTGAACCCCACAAAAGAGCGTGAGTGGGCAGGCCGGGTGCTGCTTTATTGGGAAGACGTGATCAGAACCGGCGGGACGTCAGGGTGGGCACCAGCATGGGTTGCGGCTGTCGTCACCGCGGATTCACACAAGTTGCCCATTTAGTGCCATTTCGGGGACTGTGGGTTCTGGGACCTCTGACTGCGTCCTAGTCTGAGGGCCCCTGTCGGGGTCATCTCTGTGTCCTCTCTGGGCCTGCGCTTTGATGGTCAGCAGTAGGTGACACCATTAGAGTCCCGCCTGCCGGGTTGCACCATCGTCCCAACCAGGTGATGTGGGCGGGAAGCAGAGGCAGGCGGGTTCGTGCCAGCCACTCGGCACTCACCTGCGTGTAGCCACAGACCGAATCCACACCTGGTTCTTCCATCTTCCTCCCTTCATGGCTCCAGGGCCCCCAGGCTCTCCAAGACCACGGGAGCTGGGAGGGTGCTTGTGCGGCTGCCTGCACGGGAGCCCCTTGGTCTGGGATCAGGTGCTGAGAGGGAGGATCTGGGTTGACAGGGAGGTGCCTGTGACAGGCACTCTGTCATCCTTCCCTCTGAGGGAAGGGCCCTGAGAGTCTCTGGAAAGCTGAAGCTCTGGGTGGTGTAGGATTTACTCTTTCAATAGCCCACTGAGGTGTACTTGGCGTACAATAAACGGCATGGATTTAAAGTACACAGGTTCAATAGTTTTGACATAAGGGGCACCCATGAAGCCACCACCACAGTCAAGACAATGAACGTATCTGTCACCCCTGAGTGTTTCCCCGTGCTCCCGTGCAGTCGGCCTCCCGCCCCCACCGTGTTCCCAGACAACAACTGCTCTCCTCGGTCTCTACAGATTCACCTGCTCGTGGTAAAATCTGTACAGATGAAATCACATACTACCTGCTCTCGCTGTCTGGTCTGTTTCCATCAGCACACTTATCTTGAGATTCATCCGTGTTGCAGTGTGTATCAATAGTTCATTTTCCTGTATTGCTAAGTAATATTCCATTGCATGGACAGACCACAGTGGTTAAATGCATTCGGTCGTTGATGGACATTGAGGCTGTTTTCAGTCTGGGACCATTAAAAATTACACTCTCTGAACACGTGTGCACAAGTCTGTGTGTGGACATATGTTTTCATTTCTCTTGAGTAAACACCCAGGAGCAACAATGGCTGGACTATGCGGGAGACGCGTGTTTAACTTTTTATGAAACCGCAAAACAGTTTTCCAAAGAGGCCGCACCATTCCCTGCAGCAGGGCAAGCGAGGCCCAGTCCTGCACCTCCTGCCAGCATTTGCTGTGGTCGGTCCTTGCAGATTCAGCCATTTGCACAGGGGTGAAGGGACGTCCTACCATGGTTATCATTAACGTTTCCCTTACGACCAGAGATACCGAGCACCTCTTCACGCACCTGGCCGCTAGCTGCATGTCTTTGGTGAAGCATCTTCTCAGATCGCGTGCCTATTTTTTTATTTGGATGGTTTGTTTTCTTTCTACTCAGTTTCAAGAGTTCTTTATATGTTCTGAATACCAGCCCTTTATCAAATATATAGGATGCATTCATTTCCTATGGCTGCTGTAATAGATGATCACACACTTGGTGGCTTAAAACAGTCTTACAGTTCTGGAGGTTGGAAGTCTAAAATCAGGGTGTTGGCAGGGCTGTGTCCCTTCCAGCGGCTTCATGGGAGAATCTGTGCTCTTGCCTTTTCCAGCTTTTAGAGGCTGCCTGCGTTCCTTGAATCGCAGTCCTGCTTTCATCTGCAAGGAGTGTCACTCCAGCCTTGGACTCTGTCCTCACGCCCCTTTTTATACTGTGCTCCTAACTCCACTGCCTCCCCTTTATAAGGACCCTTGTGATGACACTGGATCCACTCAGATGGTCCAGAATAATCTCTCATCTTCATGATCCTTCACCACACCCGTGTTTTGCCATATAAGTTTCACAGGTTCTGGGGACTCCTCTGGGGCGATTTTTCAGCCTACAACATATGATTTGCAAATATTTTCTCTAAGCCCGTGGCTTTCATTTTATCCCATTAACAGAGCCTTTCAAAGAGAAGAAGGTTCAAGGTTAATGCGATCCACTTATTGAAATTTTGCTTTTGGAGATCATGCTTTTGGTATCCTGTCCAAGAAAACTGACTAACCCTAGTGTTTTCTTCTAGAAGTTTTATGCTTTTGGTAAATTTCCCATTTAGGTCTGTGATCTATTTTGAGTTAGTTTTTGTATATAGTGTGAGGTAGGGATCAGCATTCTTTTTGATATATATCCAATTATTCCAGCACCACTTGTCGAAAAGTCTAGTCTTTCTCCACTAAATTTCCTTTCTGTGTTTATCAAATATCAATTTCTTTATCTCCGTGGGTCTACTTCTGGAATCTTTAGCTGGTTCTATTGATCTATTTGTCTGCCTTTACATGGATACCACAATATCTTAATAATGTTGCTTTATAATAATTCTTGAGATCAAGTAGTGTTAGTTTTTCAACTTTGCTTTTTTCAAAGGTGTTTTGGCCAGTCTATATCCTGTGCTTTTTCATTCACATTTTAGAATCAACTTCAATTTCTACAAAAAAAGAAATTTTTTCTGCCGCTGAAATTTTGATTTGGACTGTGTTGCATCCATCAACCAGTTTGGGGAGAATAGGCCTCTTAACATTATTGAATCTCCCAACCCATGCACTAGGTCTATTTATCTCTTGATTTATTTAGATCTTTTAAAGTTTTTTTCCCAGCAATGTTTCGTAGTTTCTATGTGTAGGTCTTACACATATCAGATTGGATTTATCCATTAGTATTTTACATTTTTTATGCTATTGTAAACAGTGTTTTATGTTAATTTCTGATTGTTCATTGCTAGTATTTGGGAAAATAATTGATTTTTATATGTTGAACTTGTATCCTACACCTTTGCTAAACTCACGGTTTTCTAGATTCAATCAGATTTTCTACATAGATGATCAAA